AAAATAAATAACTTGCTAGTGAGGCTGTGGAGAAACAGAAACCCTTGTAGAAATTGGTATGACTATTATGGAAACCACTGCAGTGATTACTCAAAAATTTAAAAATAGAATACTGTGTAGTCCAGCAATCCCATTATTGCATATCTATCTAAAGAAATGAAAGCATTGGATCAAAGACATCAACTCTCTCCTGTTCACAGTGGCAAAGAAATATAAAGAAACAAAGTGTTAAAGAAATAGGTTTATTACAAGTGGGAGTACTCCTCTGTGGGAGAAGAAAAGAACATCCTTTGTGAGAACATGGGTGGTACTGGAGATGATGGTGTTAAACATGCCAAGCACAGAAAGACGGGTACTACATGGTAGAATGGTGGTTACCAGAAGTTGGGGAAAGTAGGAGTGGAGAGAGGGAGGAATACTAAGTTCCAGTTCAGTAAGAGCAAGAAGTTCTGATGTGCTGTTGCACAGTAATAAATAAAATTTATAAGTAAATTATTATATAATTTATAAATAAATGATAATTGTGTACTGTATAATTTTTAAAGCTAGAAGAAAGAATTTTGAATCTTTTCACCATAAAGAAATGCAGGTGCTTGAGGGGATGGCCATGTTTCACCTGATTTAAACAGTGCTTATTGTATGCCCGTACTGAAACATCACATGGTACTACTCCGCTGATGTGGGCAGTTTGTTTTATGTATCAGTCGAAAGGTAAATTTAAAATCAAGAAGTTAGGAAATAAGTAAATTATATACTACTGTCAACAACAACAACAAAATGAAATACTTAGGGATGAACTAGATAAAATATCTGAGAGACCTGTACGCAGAACTCTAAAACTTTCTAGAATAAAATTGAAGAATTAAGAAAACAACGCAAAGTAGTGTATCTTGTTCGAGTTTAAGTCAGTGTGTAAATGGGCTCCCCTCACGCCTGTACCACGACTGGATGGAAATGAGCCAGATCTGCATTGAGCCCTTGGATCAACATCTCTTTCCTGTTTATATGGTTAGGTGTGGTATAGTAGAAAGGATGTAGACTTTGGCCTGATACTTAACTGGGTTCAGTTTCAAGCCCCACAGCTTAATATGTGAGCCTAGGGAAGTCAGTTACCTGCTTTTTTCATCTATAAAGAGAATAATTACTTGTCAGGGTTATGAAAACTGAATTTAGAGAAATAGAAAATAGTGTGGGTATTTATTTAATTTGCTAGCTTCCCAGAAAAGACTGAAATACTTCAATAGATATGAGAAGACCTTTGCTCCAGTTCTTCCTCCAGCATATCAACCAACCACACCCTGTTTCATCCAACAATCAAACATTAGCTTTATAGGCAACTTTAGGGCCAGAGAGCTGATTCATATTTGGATGGCTCCTCTAACTTAAGGTCTTCTATTTTATCATAATCAAGTGATTACTGCATTTTGGAATTTGATGAGTTAACTTGTTTGGAAAGAGTTATCTTTGGTTATAAGATTGCAGTGAATCACACTGAACATTATTGGATTGTTTGCTATCTAGAAGAATTAGAAGAGATTATTCATACCAGTAGTATCAATATTTTATTGTCTCAAGTCATAGCATCAGCAACTCTTACTTCATCCCCTTCTCTTCCAAGAGTTTCTCCTTCTTCCTTATTAATTATAAATCATGGAACCTCCTGAAATCCAACTGCTACTACAAGAAACAGCTCAGAGTGTCTTTGAAGAAGACAGAAGAAACTTGATTCTTTTCCAGTCTGTTCATGGTTTATACTAATGCATGGATCTTCCTCTTCCTATTGGCTAGCCTCTGTGTGTGTGTGTGTTTTTGTGTGTGTGTGTGTGTGTCTAGGTGGAAATCATGTAACAGTGACATTTAGTCAGTTTTGTACAGTTATCATCTGTGCAAACGTTTTCATTACTACCAAAAACTTCTGCACCGTTTAAGAGCACTTGTACCCATGGTCCCCTCTTTTCAGCCCTCAGAATATTAGTCTGCTTTCTGTCTCTGAATTTACCTTTCCTGGATGTTTCACATAAATGGAATGATAGAGTGAGTGACTTTTGTGTGTGTTATCTGTCATACAGCATATTTTAGAGATTCATCCATGTAGCATGTACTACTATTCCTTTTTATGGCTAAGAGAAAACCCCATTGTACAGATGGATGTCGTTGTGTTGGTCCATTCATTGGTTGATGGACATTTTCACCATTGTGAGTTGTGATCCTGTGATCTTGTGTACCAGTACTTGGATGCCCACTTTGAATTTTTGTCACATGTACCTCACTGTAGAATTGCTGAATCATGCTAGTTTGGTATTTAAGGGGTTTTTTTGAGGATCCTCCAACTAGTAGTGTTACCCAAGTCCTATATTTCCTTATTGCACTTCTGACTGATTTTTCTATCCATTGTTGAAAGTGAGTTATTGAAGTCTTCAACTGTTTTACTGCATAAGTCCTCAACTTATGATGGGACCATGTTTTTAGTAAGCCCATTGCAAGTCGAAAAATTGTAACGCATTCAGTGCACCCAGCCTACCAACTATCATGCTTGGTGATACAGTATTGCGCTGTAGTTGTAGTCTACCCTCCTGCAGCTGATTGGGAGCTGCAGCTTTGCTCCCACTTCCCATCATTGAAAGAAAATATTGTACTACATATCACTGGCCTGGGGAAAAAAATCTAAATTTGGAATAAAGTTTTTACTGCATGTGTATCACTTTCACACTATGCTAAAGTTGAATAATTGTTAAGCTGAACCATCTGGAAGACTTATATTACCTGATGTTCTGTTCAACTGTTAGATCTTAATTGATCCTCTGTAGTTTCCTTCTTTGTGTCTAGTAACAGGTTTTTAATTGAAATATGTTTTGTCTAATACTGGTAGACCGTTGTTAGGAGCTGAATGGCCTCCCCCAAAGATGTCGAGGTCCTAACTGAGGTGCTTGTGAATGTCATATTATTTGGAAATAGGATCTTTGCAGTAAGTAGGTCTTTCTGGTCATTTCTTTGGCAGCCCTAGGAAGCTCACATACTGTGAATGAGGTTTAACAGGATGCCTATATTGTGAATGCAGCCATGGACCTGGATGGCCTGTTACTGGAAGCGATCTGAGGTGCTTGACAGGAAGAGCGGCCTAGACTATCCTGAAAGGATGGTTGACCTAAACGTGTGTTAGGGGCAGTCTGGGGAAGGCCTTAGCAGGAAATGATGAGTGTGCTGAACAGTGGGAAAAAGACGATCTTTATTATAAAACTGCAGAGAAGTTGGCTAAATTATGTTTTATCATTGGATGGAAAGTAGAATTTATATGGGGTGAACTGGGACCTGAGATTTCCAAGCAAATTACAGAAGGTGCAGCCTGATCTCTTGCTCCTTAAACTAAAATGTAAAAGAGAGAAATAAGGGAATGAGCTGATTAGAAAAAAAGGAGCATATGTTAATTTGGAGAGGTTTACAAGTATCTGCTACATAACAGTACCCTAAAGGCATGAAGTGTATAACGGTGGACCCTACCAGCCGTCTCAAAGAACTTGGAGTAGAAAAGGCCTGTGGACAGTCCTCTTGTTTGGTAGTGTCCACTGTACGAATTTCATAAGGCTGACAGGGATTTCGAGAATTGTGTCCCAGCATAAACACTGACAGACTAACCTGAAAGGAACAGAAACAGGATAAAATGAAAGAAGGGTTCTAAGGAGAGAATCACAAGTGCAATGCCCCCCTGCATTAGAGAATTCCCAGAACCAAAGGGCAAGCTGTTACCAGCCCCCCCCCCAGGTTAACGTGATCCCCAAAAGATTATTCTTAGGCCTTAAAAATCTAAAGGAATTTGCTTTGCTAGGACACTATCTGTATTATTAGAACATCTATGTTCTTACAGCCTTCCCAGTGCTATCTTGTCAGACATTTGGACCCTGACAAGCATAAGTGAAACATAGTAGCATACTGTTGTTTTCATTTATTATTTGTATGGTTGAAAGCGGTACTTTTACTGAGGCGCCACATTGTTATTGCTGTTAGCTTTGCTTCAAATAGGTTTTGTCGTGCAGAAAATTGTTTTTATGTTTTGTTTATGCCAGATTATCACCATGTGACTTCAGTTTTTACATTGCCTATAGAAAGGCCTTTTCCATTCTGAGATTATTCAAAGATTCTTCTGTTGTCAAAATGGACTTCTAATTCATACCTACCATCATCAAGGCGGAAAGTATTCTGGATTAGAAAGCCTGTTTCTGATGTTAACTTTTTGCACTACCTCACTTCATTGACCCTTAAGTTTGAGGCATTGCACAGTAAGAGCAGTAGGTGTGTGTTGTGTGCCTGTGCACATACTCTCACAAGATAGCACGACTGAGCCAGCCACACCGGCACTGGACTTTATACCATGGATTTACCTCAAAGTCATGGTATAGCTCGAAATAAAACTTACTTCAAGGAAAGGCATTCCTGTTAGGAAATTCCCTTTAATAATTCCTTGCAGCATTGCTGGGTTGTTAAGACTTGGAGACCCAGATTTTTTTCTCTTTGGTTCCTTCAATTCTGGTTACTTTGGGGATGAAGCTCAGCGGCACAGCGCCTACCTGTTAAGTGTGAGGTCCTGAGTTTGATCCTTGGTACCCGCCCCCCAAAAAGCAATCTGGTTACTTTTCTGGGACCACTTTCTTAATTTAGTTTCTCTTTACTTTAGAACTAATGATTAGAATTTCATGAGTCAATTTACTTAGGCGTATTGTGCATACTTTTCTTGGCATTACATTTTTTTGTAGATGAGGTCATATAAATTTACTATTTGCAGAGTTTGAAAAACTGTCTTAGGGTAATGACATTAAGGGTAGATTTTACTTAAATATCTTGTTTCAGTTATTTCAGTAAAACTCTGGCTCTTTTGTTTTGGGGTTTATTTTAGAAAACATTTCATTTTTTCTCTTTTTAAGGACCACATTTGTAGTTAGTAGATCCTAGGGGTGGTTGTTGGTTAGCTGTAAACTTAAAAGAGAATGGTATCCTTTTTCATCTAGATCCCAAGGAAGAGAAAGAGGAAGAAGATGATTCTGCCCTCCCTCAGGAAGTTTCCATTGCTGCAGCTCGACCTAGCCGTGGCTGGCGCAGTAGCAGCAGGACATCAATCTCTCGTGTTCGAGACACAGAAAATACCCGCAGCTCTCGGTCCAAGACTGGTTCATTGCAGCTCATCTGCAAGTCAGAACCAGTTACAGATCAGCTTGATTATGGTAATGTGCAAGTTGAGTATGATTACTTAGTGCCACCTGTTTATTTTTTATTTTAAATGCAATGTTGAACTTTGCCTAAATGGCTTAAGTTTCAGGGACAGGGATGATGATACTGAGAAAGCTTCTTTTGGACAATTTTTAGGGAGTCTTATTTTAGATAATGTACTTAAATATTTTGGCTGCATAGAGGAAATGCCTTATCTGTGCATAAAGGTTTGATTTTCGCTTTGTTTTTCTAGAAGTTGCAGAAGAACATCAGTCTCCCAGCGGCATTAGGTAAAGCTTTCATATTTCATATTTAAACATTTGGGTACATAGCACAGTGATATTAAATGATGTGGAAGTTGCTTTTTACTTGACAGTGTTTTGAACTCTAAGAGAAAGAACATTTGGGTTCCACCTTGGTCTTGAGTAGACCCTTGTAGACTGCACGGCCCTGGGTTGTGGTGCAGAAGCCATCTTGGGTACCTCTGGGGGGCTTGTCCTTGGGACACTAAGCTGAACCCTGGGCATTTGGTTGGGGTTTTGAAAATCTTCGTGATAAGTTGTGATTTTTGTCTGCTCATAGATCTCTTCTAATACAGCTGATTTCCAGACATCCTAGTGTAAAGGCAATTGTTTTTACTTCTTAGTGCCATTGAGCGGTCATTACCCTGTCTTTTTTGAACAAAGTGATAATATTTCTAGTGTTTTTGTGGCTTGGGTTATTACTTAGGATAAAGCTGCTACATTGCAGTCCACCTAGGTCATAGGAATGAAAAATTAGGTAACAGTGTGAATTTTGGGCTACTACTAAATAAATTACCCAGTATAACCCAGTCAGACATGATCCTTACATCCAGAATTTATTTCTGTTCTTCTTTAGTAGTGATGAAGAAGAGGAGGAAGAAGAGATGTTAATCAGTGAAGAGGAAATACCATTCAAAGATGATCCGAGAGATGAGACCTACAAACCCCACTTAGAAAGGCATGTCTCAGAATCCACTCAGATGTGGCAGGGAACCACTGTACATGCTTTGTCTTATTGCAAAATTAAATAGTTAGAGAAGTAGATTTAAATGAGTAATTATGCACTTGTTTTTCAAATCTGATGTGATCTTCTATTTATAGGACTTGAATTTGAAGATATCACAACTACTAGATTTGTGCATATTTTATCTTACAGTATCACGATTTGCCAGGATACTTAGAAATTTTGCTTACTGTCTTATTTCTTTGAACTGCTATAGTGAAATTTGATTGTTAGGCACCTGAACCCTAAAAGTCCACCCCCTAAGTGTCAGGTAAAAATACAGCATAACTGTGTGTGTGAGGAGCAGTGAGCAGGAGGAAATCAGTTCTGGAGCTGAGGGCTAGAATTTTATGGTAAATCACGATGAGCACTTTACCTTGCTGTCATAGTCTTTCTTGAGGGGATCCTTGGTAGAATACTAATGATGAACTGCATTTGTGTTTTCAGGGAAACTCCAAAGCCACGGAGAAAATTGGGGAAGGTGAAGGAAGAGAAAGAAAAGAAAGAAATTAAAGTGGAAGTAGAAGTAGAGGTGAAAGAAGAGGAGAATGAAATTAGAGAAGATGAGGAACCTCCTAGAAAGTTAGTAGCCAATTTCTACTAAAAATGGAAATGTAACAGATTTTGAAACTACAAGTGGAAAAAAGTGAGCATGTGAGGAGGGATGTGAACGTGTATATACTTCAGAATGTACATTTTCAGCTCCAAACACTGCCCTCCAGCAGCTGATGGTGTCGTTAGGGAGATCCCTTCGGAAACTCGAGAAGGTTTCATTTTCATTCAAGGCAGTATTGAAGTCCAGATGATTTGAGGGGGGAGAGTGGCTCTAGGAATGCAGAGGAAATAAGAGACAAGAAAAAATAGGGAATACGGGTCCTCAGAAGAAAAGTAAACAAGGCAAAAGATGTAATAACCTTGATTAGGTAAAAATTCTCAGCTTTTTAAGTTTATTGCAACGAGAGTAGAATTTTAGAGTTTTTAGACAATAGTCTATTGATCGACTTTTTAAATTTATGCGATAAAGTTTTCATTGTGACAAGTCGAAAATTAATTCATTTTAAATCTTGTTTGATTTGGTAGATACGTGTTGGGTTTTCTATAGTGGTCTGAATTATCCTTTGTCTGCTGCTTGCTCTTTGGCCTGCAGTATGTGCCTTCTCAGGCATCGTTCAGCTCTGGGCTTCAATCTGAAATAGCTCTCTTTACTCACAGGAGAGGACGAAGGCGGAAAGACGACAAAAGCCCTCGCTTACCCAAAAGGAGGTGAGGAATTCACTGTCCTGTTGTCTTGCATTAGCTCTCTAGTAATCTCGTAGGGATGGCTTATTTAAAATTTCATAAAGCAGTTTTATTAGTGTCCATGATAGGTAGGAACTACATTTTTATTTTCATTGCAGAATAAAATTTCTAAAAATCTTATCGCTTCCTTTCTACCTTCATGGAGATTGTGTTTATTCGTGCTATTTTTAAACACTCAAGCATTTGGCAGTTTGTGGTTACTTCTAACAAATTCTGTGCAAGTAAAGAGGTTAATAACAGCTATGCTTTGTAGTACAGAATTCCACTTTGCTGTTAACTTTTCTCCTGTATTTTGCCAATAGGAAAAAGCCTCCAATCCAGTATGTCCGTTGTGAGATGGAAGGGTGTGGAACTGTTCTTGCTCACCCTCGCTATTTGCAGGTCGGTGATGTTTTTACATAAGACAGCCTTTCAAGTTAGGTTTCGTTATTTGTCCTCATACCCACCTCATAAGACTTAATGGGCTCATGTAGGTTTTATCATTGATACAGTGTCAAGACAAATGCTCATGACATTACTGGAGTCATTCTGTCTTAGTCTACTTGATCTGCTGTAGCAGAACTGCTGCCCTTTCAGTATTTGTGCTGCCACCCTGAGACTTGGTGGTTGCTAAAGAACGGAAGTCTTGGCTGGCCCAGTTCAAGACCCCCAAGCACGGTGCTGTCTGGTGAGGTCCTTCTTAACTGCATCATTGTCTAGCGGAAGGTAGAAGGGCAGCAGGGAGCTGAGCACACCTCGGTAACAGTGCTCTTCCCGTGTTAGGAATTCTGATCCATTCGCGGGGCAGAGCGCCCACATACCTGCCAGCACAGTTGGCTGCACTGAGGGTTAATGTTCCAGTGCACGAGCTTTGGCGGGGAGTACATTAACTGCAGTGCGTGTTGTTAAAAACAAGGTGGCTGAGAACCTGAGCCCAGACGTCAGGCTTTCCTTGGGGTCTTGGGGATTGCAGTGTTTCCCAAAGTGGCGTAAAGACTTCTGAGATGAGAGTGATTGTCACAGTGCACCAAGGTGCAGAATAAGATGAGAGACTACAGAATGAGTAAAAAAGTTTTAGTTTGGTTTGGTTTGTTTTTTTTTAAATGGGCAGTGACACAGCTTATATTTGGTCCTGACAGAAAACGTGAATATGAAATACTGCTTAGGAGATGCCTGTTTGCCCATTAGCAGCAAATACATCATGAGACTAAGGCCTTGCTTTCGATTGTGGTTCTAATTATAACTACTGTTATTCTTTTTGCTATGTGTCATTTGCTACACTAGCCACTGTAAAATACTTGATCTCTTTTCTTCACACTGCCTGCCCTTCCATATACGTATTTAGTTTTCTTTCAACTCTTTGGACTTAGCAAAGAACCTTAAGCCTTGATTTTATCTCTTTCCTTTCCTTTTACTCCCATTAATTCCCATTAATGTGTTTTAGCACCACATTAAATACCAGCATTTGCTGAAGAAGAAATATGTTTGTCCACATCCCTCCTGTGGACGACTCTTCCGGCTCCAGAAGCAGCTTCTACGGCATGCCAAACATCATACAGGTACTTTTTAAAACAAAATGTTTATCAACTAGCCACATGAACTGTATTTTAGGTTTGCAAATTGATACTGATACAATTTTTTTTTAACATAAGTTATCTGAAGAGTCCTTGGCCATGTGGGAGAAAGACACAAAAATAAAGTTTAATAAATTCTATAAGGGATGATCAAACTTGGGCTTTTGAACTTACAGTTTGACTTTGAGAACTTCTAACCAGTATAATGATGTTTTCATTGAAAGTAAATTATGTATCAACTATGAATTGAACACTTTATATTATCGCCAATCTGTCCACTCAGCACCACTAAGTTAGTTTGGTTTAGGCTTATTTTGTAACTTAGAAACCACAGATTTAACAGCATTAGGTAACTTCACTATGGTCATCCAGCTAGTAGTTAGCAGAATGAGGAGTTTAAAATTCTGCTTCAGGTGGATGCCTGTAGTACCTGTCGTGGACTAAAAGTGGGTAACGTTGGAGAAAAAACATGAACTGTCAAAGAACCTTGCTTATAATTTGTGGTTAACCATTAAGTAACTCGAGGGACTTCTATTGCTGTCGAAATCATGAAGACTGGCTGTTGATTTTGCATGTAAACTTATATAGGAACTGTTGACTCCAAAAAAGAAACTCAAGGCAATATATGTTATAGACTCAAATTCCATTCATCAGTAACTGCTGACAGCCTTTATGCAGTGCATCATATAAACAAGATTGGACTGGGTCTTACTGGTACAGACTGCTACTTGGTTATGTCTCAGACGCTTGGTAATTCTGTTTCCAGGTGCAGAAATATGTCCACTCGCCAAGACAATACTGACATATAATGTACTCTCCTCCATATACTGTATGTGTGACTGAAGGAAGTCATTTCACTTCTCTGTTTCTCACCTTCCCTTAGCTGTAAAGTAAGGCTGCCAGTATCGCAGGTGCTTCAAGTATGAAATAGATAATACATGAAGTGCTGTTTACTGCACAGAGCTTAGCACCTGCTACACTTTCAGAACACTGTACTGGGACTTGGGTTTTAATCCAAAACCCAAAAATCTGCAGTTTTTATTATGCTATGCTTCCTAAAAGGGAATGCTGTCTTCACTGATTCTCAGTAGGTACTGCAGTTGGTCTTCTCTGCCTCTCCCTGGACTATTTTAGCCCATAGAAATGTTTTCTGACAGCCCATTTAGAAGTTTGCTCAGTACCAGAAGTCTACGATAGAGAACTTTTTATAAATTCATTCTGTTCCAAGTACTTCTGTTTGCCCATGCACTTGTGTGGTGTTAGTTTCTTCTGCACCTTAGTAGGTGTGGCCTCCCTTTACAGAGTAGCTGATGAGCACTGGTGCTTCCCCCAGCTTTCCCATGCTGTTACGGAGCAGGACAAGAGGACAGGATGCAGTTGGTGCTAAGAGTTGTCCCTGTTAGGGTTGTGTACATTTTAGATTGTGCCGTACAGCGTCAAACACCGCCAGTGTTGGTGTTCCTTGGCTCTTAGCAAACACAGAATCTCGGGCCCTACCTCAGGCGTGATGCATCAGCACATGCGTTAGTAAGATCCCCCAGTGACCCTGAATGTGTTTGAGAAATCAATACAGCTCTTCGCTCCCACTTGGTTTCGAAGCCATTTTGGGAAGGAGCACTAGATTACGTTGTTCACCACTTAACATTCATGTTTTCATTGTAACTATATCTAGAAATTTTCAGTGGAGTAGAAAATGTGGTCATTCAACAATATTTTGTACCTGTTTGTCTTTCGCGCCCCCCCCAAGTATAATGAGAACAGTGATCCCTTGCCTTGTGGGTTCCACACCATATTATCAAATTCATCAGAGCTCCTGTGGAACTGGAGAAGGGGAGTTACGAAGTGACAGGAAAGTATGGAATGGTGCAGAAGATGTAGCGTAGAAGGCTGAGGTGAAGGAATACAAATACTATCTGCATCTGTTTGAATGTGAGGTGTTTGTTTATTTTGGTAGCATTTTTTAAACCTGAAACAGGTATGGTTATTTTAGATGAGGATGTGTTGTGGAGGAGTGCGTGCTTTCTTTTTACAGTACTGGGGTTGAACCTAGAACCTTTACACTGAGCTATGTCCTTAGCCCTTTTTTGTTTTGAAACAAGGCCTTGCAAAGTTGCTCGAGCTGCACTTGAACTTGAGATCCTCCTGCCTCAGCCCCCAGTGGTTACAGATTACAGATGTGTGCCATCACGCCCAGTTGGGAATGCCAAATTATTCTTTTGGTTTGTTTGGATACTAGATTCTTTTTATTGTAAGCATTCTTTCCATCTTTAATGAACTGTGAAAAAATCGTTCAAAAGAATGAAATCTATGAAATGTAGTTATTTACCTTCTAACCAATTTACCTAAGATCAGAATTAGCAGTAACATTGAGATTAGGATTCCAGTTCTTTTGTTTCTAAGTTTTCTTGTTTGCTTGTTTTTCAGCAAGTCCTTGTTCTACTGAATGTGTAGGCTAAAAGATCAGAGCAGTGGTTTTCTTATTTAGATTTGACTGAAAGTGTTCAACATTGTAGACAGCATTGCTTCTACCCTAAACGACCTGCCTGACCAGCGGGTTGCCCACCTGCCAGGGACGTTGTGTAGTGTCTGACTGGAACCCTAACCACGTTATGCTGCCCTTAGATCAGAGGGACTACATCTGCGAATACTGTGCTCGGGCCTTCAAGAGCTCCCATAATCTGGCAGTGCACCGCATGATTCACACTGGCGAGAAGCCGCTGCAGTGAGTATCTGCTGGGGTCCCAGCTCCTGGCTGACAAGTGTGTAGACCCCACGGGAAGGTTTGCCCCACAGACGCTCCATCTGCCACCATTTTACCAAATTAAATGATGTGTGTCGATGGGGGGAGCTGCTTAGTAACCTTCCTTGTTGCTTTCTGTTGTTTTCCAATTAAACCGAAGAAAAACATCAGATTTCTATCCAGTAGTTTCCTAATCCTTCGCAAAAACTGTGTGACTGATTAGTATTTGCGTGATCTGTGCACGCTCTAAGCTCTTACTGACCCTTCAGTAGCAGCACCCTATTTCTGTTTGATCGCCCGTTTCCTCTTCCACTCCTTAGATGTGAGATCTGTGGATTTACTTGTCGACAGAAGGCATCCCTCAATTGGCACATGAAGAAGCATGATGCAGACTCCTTCTACCAGTTTTCTTGCAATATCTGTGGCAAAAAATTTGAAAAGAAGGACAGTGTAGTGGCGCACAAAGCAAAAAGCCACCCCGAGGTGCTGATCGCAGAAGCTCTGGCCGCCAATGCAGGCGCCCTCATCACCAGCACAGACATCTTGGGCACTAACCCCGAGTCCCTGACGCAGCCTGCAGACTCTCAAGGTCTTCCCCTTCTCTCTGAGCCCCTGGGAAACTCAGCCTCTGGAGAGTGCCTGCTGCTCGAAGCCGAAGGGATGTCGAAGTCATACTGCAGTGGGACGGAGCGGGTGAGCCTGATGGCTGACGGGAAGCTCTTTGTGGGCAGCAGCAGCAGTGGGGGTGCGGAAGGGCTGGTCATGAACTCAGATATACTCGGTGCTACCACAGAGGTTCTGATTGAAGATTCAGACTCTACTGGACCTTAGTGGAAAAGGAAGACTTTGGGCACTGGGACAGTTCGGACTTTGTATTTAAAAGATAAAAAGGACAAAAAAAATTTAAAGCATTTAAAATCTAGTAAAATAACTGAAGGGCCTGCTCTTTCCATTGTGGATCACAGGACACACACCCCAGCCCCAGAACTCCCCCTCTTTCCCCCTTACCAAATCAATGTTGCCTTTTTCAGAAAGGCAGACTGCAAAAAGCAGCAGCAGCTCTGCCAGTGAGGATTCTCCTCACTCGGTCCCAGCCAGCAGCAGACTTCCTGCTCATTGACAGGTCCCCTTTTCCAACTTGTAATTCTGATATGCTCTGGATCGGCTTTTAACTCTTATACTGTATTACTGACTTCTAAATTCTCCTCCTCTCCTGCTGCCCTATGGTTCTGGCTTCTACCCACTGCAGCACACTTATCCTCAAATATTACATAATCCTACTCTCTGGAGGCTGGCAGCTTGACTTGGCACTTTAGGGCCCCTTAGCAGGGTGTACTGTTAAAACAGCACACATCTCTCACCCCCTCTTCCGCTCCCCTCTGGGTTTTGAAAAGGGAGGTTACATGTGGACCACCCTCCTCCTCTCTGGCCCCAGCGCCTCGGTCCCCCTCCCAGACCTCCATTTGGCTCTTATGGTGCTCACTGGCTTGGAAGCAGGCTCCCCAGAGGGTGGAGGCTGCCCTCTCTCCACAGTCTCTGGCTGTAACACAGGGCTCTATCAGTGCGATGGTGAGAAAAGTCCCAGGCTAATGGCAGAAATTTGCACTTTGAACATGTGTGTTTTTGTGTTGTGGAACCTGAGATTCCTTATTTATTAATGGAAAGTCTGATTTTTTTGCGGGGGGTGGGGTCTTCATTGCTTTGTTTTGTGGGGCTGGGAGAAGTTAGATTATTCGGACATGGGATCCTTTCCACAAGATGTTCTTTGAAGGCAAGGTATAGGGTTGAAGAAGCACAGCCAGCCTCTAAAATCATAGCTCTCCAGTGGCCTTTACAGAAAGCTGTCCTCAGCACGAACAAAATCACTACAGTAGCCTAGTGCAGGATGATAGGTTCATGGTGACTTGTGTGCTCTTTGAGATTCTGAGAGCATTGAGATTAAGGAGTTTTAAGGGGATGAGGAAGGTTGTTCAGTGTCTAAATTACAGATGAAAATCTCGTGTGAATCATTTTTGTCCTCACCATTTCCTTACATACGCCTACCTTCTGTCCCTTTGTTTTGTTTTTGGTTTTTTGCTTTGCTGTATATTGGTTCATTGTGGCTCCCTGTTAGCGAAGCAGCAGTGTCTAGGAGTAGGAGTCCTAAGTCAGAAGAAAGCTGCCGTTTTGTTTCCCTTCTAGTAACACCTCAGAAAGGGCTCACTTTCTGAAATTCTGGCAGTTACCACTTCCTTTGGAAGAAGAGTTTTCCTGGAGTGTGCATTGCTTATATAGTAACTCCATGGAAGACACAGGTAGTGTTGTGTACAAATTCTTAACTCCCAGAAGACTAAGCAGCTGTTGGCTCGTTTTTAGAGAACTAAAAGGGCAGCGCCTGTCTCACGTACCTCGGAAGCTGGACTTGAAGCCTTATCCTGTTCCTTGTCCCTTGTTGGAAGTGTGTGCTGGCTGTTGGGAAGAATGAAGTTTTTAAAAAACGAGAAACAGCTTGTTTTTCACAAACACTAAAGCTAAAAAGTTTATCCATTTCTTCTTGATTTATTTTTTTCTCAAAAAGGCATGAGAAAATGTCATCTGAAAGAGACTTACCCCAGCAGCGGTGGTGGGAGGCGAGGAGCGAGACACCTACGGGAGAGAGTCTCATGTGCACTCTTACTGCCTTTCAGAGGTCGCAGATTTGCTGTCTCCAGTGTAAGGGCAGAAAATGGAACAAAGGAGGAAGGGATGTAGAACATGCTTTCCTGGCCATGGAGTTTGCAGTTGACTTGATACATTGAGTAGATTTTAACCTATTTTAGGTTGGCTGGATGGCTCTAGATAAAGCTGTTCCATTCTGTACTGTTTCATTAGCTGGCGTCCACATCCTACACTCACCTTTGCCTTTGTTACACTTAGACTTTGTCTCTCTGAATTTCACTTCATCAGATATTTTAGCTTGGTATTTTTAAAACAAATGGCATTAAAAAAATAAAAAAACTTCTTTCTAGGGTAGGGGAAAATATATTCTCCCTCCCTATACCACACTCCCCTCCCCATGAAAAGCAATTATCTCTTGATTATTAGAACTTTCCGTCTTTTTTTTTTTTTTTTTAAACCTTTCTACAGCTACCATTTGCTGACAATAAATTACTTTAGAAGTTTGCAGTAGATTTTTTGCGTGGACTTTGTATTTTTCCTTTTGAGAAAAAAGTCTTGGCATAGTCAGGAGTCAGTGTAAGTAAACTAAGCCCTTTTCCCTTCTGCTCCCCATGCTGCTGTTTATTTCATTATCCTTCTCAGGAGCTCTTTTCATCTTGAAAGTCCGTATTTCCTACTCTTACTCAAATTCCCTTCACAATCTCCATCTTGAATTGGAAATTCCAAATTATGACAAAGTCGGTGAGATACAACTATTCAATATTTCTAGATGTACCTGTCCCTTGTTTGTGCTTGCCCGGGCTTATTTTGCATAATTAGACCCCTTAATATATTTCAGGAAGTTTAGACAGACACTGGCAGGGAGTTCTGGGAGGAAAGAAAGATAGAAGCATCCACATAGAGCATAGAGCACTTGAACCCCCTTAGTACCTATCTACCTGGAGGAAAACCACATACAAATACACTACCAACCTAAATAAGGTTATTACAGTCTCGGTGTCTAAAGTACCATTTTTTCCTCCTGTCTTTTCCCCACTTTCCAGTATACTCAAGAAAATTGAAAGAAATGTAATGGATCAATTTAAAATACTTTATTTCCTAAAAGCCTTTTTTGCCTATTGTAATGTGTGGGACCCTTCTCCTTTGAGGGGAGAGATGGGTTATTACCTGAATATAGGTTGAAAAGGTTATGTACAAAGAAATTATAATAAAAGGGATACTTTGCTTTTCAAATCCTTGTTTTTTCTTAATCTAGGTAAGGCATATCCAAAACAAGTATGTAAAGAAAAAAATAAAAGTTGTCCTCATGGCAGCAACTTGTCTTCCTGGGTTGTACTGAGCTACGGTTTCCTGGGGTGAAAGAAGTGATGCTGTTAAATGAGCACGAAGTCCCTCAGTGGGCAGTTTTTATGTTCTGTATGCTATTGTTTGCTCTTGTTCAGTCGGGAACTTTTTGATTGTTTAATTCTTGGTTTTTAAACATAGATGCTGTGAGATTCTGTGGTCAACAGAAACCCATTTGATTGTTTCAGTAGCCTTCTAGCAAAACCAGCCCTGTTGATGTAGTAAAGAGAACATTAAGACTGCTCTGAGGTCAATGTCACTCTGATAATGACAACTGTGTCAGCATTCAGTATCACTTATCTGCAAAACTCAATATCCATAGAATCAACTTTAAAAAGGAGAAAAAGCCCCAGAATCTTACCTTTGACAGTCTTCTGTGTCAGCTGCCCAAGCCTCCTTTCTCCCTTGTTTACCTGTGTAAATTGACTGTGCAGATGGTAGCATCTATGCTGTGAATCTAAAAGCACATCGATCCAGTTAGCGTCATTCTTTGAGTTAAATGCAATAGAATGACGATTCTCCAATCACCTTTTAACTCTTTGTCTTCATTTTCAAAGCTCAGCTCATTCTCTTATTATAAAGTATGTGCAGTGCTGGAGACAGGGAAGAGAACAGAAAGCATGTTGTCACTTGAGTAGGGCTGCCTGAGAAATGTTACCGAGTTAGGGCTGGATGTTTCCTTTGGAAGACAACAAGCCTAAACAGAACCTTCCACATCTGTAGTTACCAGGAGGGCACTGAAAGTGAGATTAGAGATGCTGCTTCAGTTGACTTTGTAATCAAGTACAAATTAAACTAACTTTAAAAGTACTTATCAAGATAGGAAATGAAAAGATGCTGCCTTTTTAAAGGACCATTTTCACAGAAACTGAGTTTCCTACACAAAATAATTGAAAAGTTGGTGGGGAAAAATAACTGAATCCAAAGCCCACTATATAAATTTGAATGCAGTTTATTGGATTTTGTGCACATTCATCTTAAGTTTTTTATATAAAATGGGAAAACTAGTATTTACTTCAGAATTAATCGAAGGATCAAATGTTTTAAAGCCTTTGTTCAGTGTCTGAGCCATTGTAGGTGTTTAATAATTATATCAATAATAACTTAACTATTGAACACTATCAGGCCAAATCAAAAACAAAAAAGACATGGGACGCACAAGGCAGGTGATGATAAAGTGAACTGATTCTATGTGTATATTAAATAGATTGCGGTAGGCAAGGGTGTCATGAGGACTGAGGTGATAGTGACCTTGTTGCTAAGTACAGAAGCAAAACACTGACATAAAAACAAGTGTGCTAAGTACTGAGTGGAGGAGAGAGATGGAGGCAGACGCTGCAGGGGGAAAAAAAGCTGATTAAAAAGGGCCCTTTGATTCCACAGGCACAAAAAATCCACAGCCAGGAATTTGCTGCCACCTCTGAGTCGGGGCGGCGGGGCGGGGGGAGTCCCATTAGAGAATGCCCAGTGGGTCGCGCCCTCGAGTCACGCTTCTGATTGGGACCGGTGCAGACGGGGCGAGACCCAGCTCACTTGTTTCCTGGATGGTCGCATCGCATCGGGATGGCTTTTGCAGAGCTTTCACCACTGACCCCTCATCGTCGGGACCTCTGTAGCCGTTCTATCTGGCTAGCAAGGAAGATTCGTTCAGACCTGACTGCTCTCATGGACTCTTACGTGAGTCGTCTGTGTTACTGTTGACTGTTTCCCTGCGTCTCAAGCCCCAGCTAGTGCCTTAGCATCACGCTGCAGCCCCATAACCAGTTAGGAAAGCCCAGTCACGGTCCTGTCCACGGTGGCTCTTTCCGTGTGGAAACTCGGGTGACCTTCATGCCTTTCTCCACTGTTTGGGAGATGTGTTATTCCTTCACTGAGGGAAGACATGAGGTTTTAGGTAGGATTGGCTATTGGAGGCTGTTCCTAACTTGATACCCTATATTCTGAATTCTACCAAAATAGATTAACTGTTCTACAGACACTGTTCCAAATTTTTGAGCTATATAAAATGAAAGAGGTTAGTAAGATTGGGCTGAAGAGCAATATGAACTTAGCAAAAATTTGTAAATCCAACTACTCTTATACGGGGTTAGGTCCTCACTTTTAGTGTGACGTCCAAAGTGTCCTTGTGTCTGACTAGAAAGATCACCTAAGCTATCAGAAGGACCCCTTGAAAGGCTCACTGGACACTCATGAAGTGTTGATTCTTGAGCTACGCATGGACCTCCAGGTTGGTTTTCTGAAAGAGGGATCTCCCTCAGTTTCTACCTAAGTCCTGTGGTGGAAATGCTCCAGGCTCCATGGGAAGTTCCTGAACTTCAATGCTGAGGGTTGCTTCGGCTTTGAACAGCCTTGCCAGTCAGAAATCAGTCTGACTTAAAACATGAGTTCCTGCCGTATTGACTCCACCAGTACAGATAGGAAGGCAAGGGGAGGTGCTACAGTAGCTACTCCAGTGTGTCCTGAGTGTATGGTTTAAATATTTCAGGAGACAGTTTGAAGCACCAATTTAGAAAACATTCTATATCGTGGTTTTCAACCTTTCCAACTTACTGAAAGTTGAATATTCTTGCAGGGAAAATGCAGCCCGTCTGTCAGTCTCAGGGAGCTTGCCATCTTGCTACAGTCTGGGTATGGATCCCAAGTTAAGTTTCTGTTCTTTACACTGGGGATCTTTGATCAGAGAGGTTTGTGAGCTTGTAGGCCCTGCACAGGTGTCATGCTCTCCATCTTCTTGCCAGGTGAAGCATCAGGGCCTGAGCGAGAACGTGAGCCTGGACGCTGTGGGCGGAGTGCCGGCTGCGAGCATCGCTCAGTGGAGCGAGCTGACTGAGGCCGAGCGGCTCCAGGAGAACCTGCACGCTTACCGCACCTTCCACGTGCTGCTGGCCAGGCTTCTGGAAGACCAGCAGGTGCACTTCACCCCCACCGAGAGCGACTTCCACCAGGCCATACGCTCGCTGGGGCTCCAGGTTTCCGCCTTTGCCTACCAGCTGGAGGAGTTGATGGTGCTCCTGGAACACGAGATCCCCCCAAATGAGACCAGCGGGGTGCCTCTGGGAGAGGGGGGGCTCTTTGAGAAGAAGCTGTGGGGCCTGAAGGTGCTGCAGGAGCTTTCCCAGTGGACCGTGAGGTCCATCCGTGACCTGCGGCTCATCTCCTCACAGCCGGCGGGGATCCCGGCAGATGAGAGCCGGTACTTTGCCAAGGATGAGAAAATGTAGCTGCCCACCCTCCCCTCGCTTCTCTTTGAGGGAACGCTGGGAGTTCTGTGCCGCCTCATTTTCACGTCTTGGGTTGTTGAAAAGCTCTAAGACCTCATGAAGTAGGGCTGAAGACACGGAGAGGAGGGCATCCAGCTTTTGTCCAGAGTGGGTGCGAGGAGTAAGCTCTCTGCCCACTAAGTGACCTTTACAGTAATGGCCTTACAGGCCCAAGGAGAGATACTTTAACTCTAGTTCTGGAGGACTTCTGAGAAGACTAAACCAATAAAGAAAACCATGCCTTCTAGCTGTTCCAACTCTAAGGCAACAAAAATTATGATGGCTAACACGCATTGAGTAGCTGCTGTCTTGGGCAGTATGCCGAGGGCTGTCTGTACATTGCATGTAACTTGCAACACCCACCTGAGGGAGGTGGTGCCCCCCATGGCAGATAAGAAGGCCCTTAGGTCTGGTTGAGGTCTCAGCTCCGAGTGCCACCTTGTGTGTGAGCCCAGGTCCTTCTCATTGTAGGCCTTGTGCCCTTAGGAGGCTCGGTTATAGGCCTGTCACTGCACCTCCGGCACGCAGTCTGCCCGGCATGGGGAACACCCTCCATTACAGTCCCTCAGAAGTCCGTAGCAGACTTTAGTTTACACAGGCAGTATCTGTCTCCCACACTTGGCGAAGAAGAGAACAGCCGAAGGTCTTCGGTTCCATTTGAGGAGAAGATGAGGTTCCCACACTTGGGAGCCGGGAAGGTGCAGTAATCCGGCCTGGTCTGATTGGGCTCGGCTTCTGCTGGGCGCCTCTCATGTGCCCTAATTGTCCCTCCAGCGGTGACACACTGTGGCTCGAGCATTCGGGAACAATGGCTGGAGCACGACTCAGGTCAGAAAGCCAACTTGGTCGGCTCGCATTCTCTGGACCTAGTCATGAGGAGAGGGTGAGGCCCACTGCTTCCCACTGGGGATGCCGGAGATTCTGCCGCGATGCGCGGCCGCGCCTCCGCGCTGCACGCCAAGGGCCGGGCTGTGCTCGCGAGAACACACGCACTGGGAAGGCTGTCGCCGTGCTTGGGCACAGGAGCACTCATCACACGCAGCACAGCCGTGTCCCAGCGGTGCAGCCGGAACGCAAAAGTTCTCAGGGGTCATTTATTGTACACTTAACCTGTAATTAAAGCTCAGGACCTTGGATTGAGGGTGCAATAAATTCGGTGCGACTAATCGCAGCATTTTTGTTAATGAACCGTGATCAGAAAGGGCTCGCTGCCAGGTCACACGAAGCGGGAAGCGGGATGTGGGACAGCTTGGGTGTTTTACGGAACGGGCCGCGCCCAGAACTCCATGCAGTCAGCACTTCGACAGGACGTGGGCTAGGTGTTGTGGCCGTTAAGGGAAGTGAAGCCCGCTTCGTAATACCCGTTTGTGGAAATATGTACGTATGTGAGACTAAGTACCAATGTAAGTTGGAGTTAGAAGGCCTGAGTCCACGTGTTACAGAAATAAGATCAGTGAGGGCCAGAAATACTTTCTTGGAGTAGAGAGGAGTTGTGTCTAAGAGGTTGGCTGAAAACAGTGTGGGGGAAAATGAAGAACGTGGCGAAGAGTTGGCCGCTTAAAAAAAACAAAGGCAATAATGCATATTTGGCCCCAGCTGTCAGTAGAGGCTTACTGTTTGGTTTTTATTCTACCTGTAATTTTGGTACAGACACATAGCTTCCCACTACAGATACAGAAGCTTATTTAATTCAAACTTTTCCTCGTTTAAATTATTTCTTCTGCTTGATACTAGCGTTTTTTTCCATTAGTAAATATCTGCTCACTAATGTAAAGCCCTTTAAACTATCTGGGAAGTCGTTTTGTGTAAAGGAGAAACATGAGCTGTCCGCATCTGGAATGCGTGACCCCTCCAGGTGTCTTCTGACCCGAAGGCATGGCAGGGCAGACCTCTGCAGAAGTTCAGAGGTGAGCAGCTGGCTCACACTCAGCTTGGTGGCCATGGGGGAGTATTTACCAAGAGGCGAGGAGGGTCAGGGAAGGAACAAGTGTTAACTGTCGAATGCAGGGATCGGGGAGGCGTGTGAGCCTCGTCTCCTGAGTGCATTCCCAGCACTGCTCAGAGCCATCCATCAGCTTCTCCTTCGAGAAACCTGCATTTGCCTGAGAGTGACAGGGAAACGAGCGCCTCTCCATGTAACAGCAAACACGTGTCGGGTCTGAATGTGCACGTGAAGTGGGTAAAGTGAATGACAAGTAAGGCTCTGGTGCCGGGCTGGGGCGCTGGGTGCGTATCTTACAATGCAAGTAGCAGGAATGAAAACACTGTAGAAGGGCATGCGTTTTAAAGATCTATGCCCCTAAAGTGGCTTTTTATTGAGATTTTACTCCCTTTGTTCTTAGGACTGTGTTACGAATAGGCTCTCTGGGCAGGCAGATGTCACAAAGCACATAACTTTTGTTCTACCCTCCAACCCCTACTTTGTAAAAAGGATCCTTTCCGTCCGCCTCCAGAGCGGTCCTTGCTGCAGAGTCTGATTCTGTTTTCTGAGTCTGTTAAGAAATTACATGGCTGATAGTAGATTTGTCTTATATTAAGAGGATGATTTGGGAAATGCTTGCAAATTGTCAAACTTGAAGACCAAACATATGGTTAGTTTGAAGCTAATGAGGGTCAAGTAAAGTGAGAATTTTAATAAAAATGGAAAGTGTAAGGTCATAGCCTTGGTATTGCTGTTATTTCAATCTGCTGTGGACGAAAGCCCAAAGATGACTCATTGTAGTGAACACAGTCAAACAGGGAGAGGACACGGAAATATTTTAGGGAGACATGGCTGAAAGGAAATCCAGAACGACTTGTCTGAATTTCCAGCTTCATGGGTACCGCTGTGTTATCTCTGTCCTCTCTGCTGGGGTGAAATAGAGATGCAGGAAGCAGAGACCTCCACGGAGTGGGAAAGGGCTGGTGGAAATGGAGTAGCGAGGAAGAAAATGTGGACAGCCATTGAGTGTGTGGGGGGCACCCGTGCAGTGTTTGGGCCAAGACATTCCTGAGAAAGAATGACCTGGCCTCCTGGCTCACCCCACCCTCCTCCTCAAGCAGCAAGCTCAAGAATGAGCCTTCTGAATGTTGTTGCATTCAGAAAGTAAAAAATGATTAACAGCCTGATCTGGGACAAAAGCTTCGGTAGAGCTCTGGGTACCGCAGATAAAGACAGAGTAAAAAGATAATTTGGTCTGCTGATGAAATGTGTGTGGAGTGTGAGACAAAATCCATGTGCTTGTGACTCAACATGAAATGTGTTTCTTGGATTTATCTATTTTTGGCCCACGAAAAATAAGGCACCAGAATGGCTAACAATAAAGTTGTCTGCTCTGCAAGACCATGAGTTACTTCTTTTATCGCTGTGTCTTTGGATGAACAAGGAGGATTTTAAGTGATGTCAACAGTTGATGAAATGTAATCCTCCAGCCAGGGCCAGACTCACTCAAGGGTGCTGGGTGACTCTCCAGGATGCCAGGCCACTGAGCGGAACTCCCAGGACCAAGTCGGCCGAGAAAAGGCTCGGTTGGTACAGCACCGTGCCAGTGCCAGTGCGTCACCCTCCAACTGCAGCCTCATCGACCAGCTCGTCACTGGCGAGAACCTCCTTTTATATGGTTTAATTTCAAGCACTGGACCCCAGTCCAGCCTTTGGCATTAAGAGAACACTGACTAGCTCGTTTCTGGGGCTAGAAACTAAGTTGTGGGAGATCATATAAGGAAAGTTTTGTAGCTGTTCTCATACAAGGAGATTCTGTATTTCTCTGCAGTCAAGGTCATTTACTTACTTGCCATGTCAGACAACTCTACGCTATTTTAGCTCATTTAATCCTTTGAGGTATTCTCTTTCATAGTTAAAAAATGACAGAGTGAATTTGCCCAAGTTTGTTCCTCTGGCATATGGTAAGGCTAAAGTTTAAAAATCAGTTCGCTATGCCCCATGCTACGGGATCGTCTCATTCTAAAACTCCATCTCTGTGATTCACCCCTTGGATGAGGCCAGTACAGGCTTGTACCAAACCTCCCACTGTAACAAAACCCTCTGAGCTTCCAAACGGACAAGTGACCTTTTCTGAGCTTCCTCTTACAAAATGGAAATGGTGACAACCAACTCCCGAGGTGGTTTTATATGGTGTAGGCAATCCCGTATCTGAAGGTACTTGGAAGGGACAGACATTGAGTATATATATTTAATGTCTCCAGTGGCTCGGATTCACATCAGACTTTGGATGGAGCAGCAGTCATATTCTGTGAGTACCTCAGGGTGCCATTTGCTTTTCAGGATTCACCTGATCACAGCCTCAACTTCACCCTCCTGGCCTTTGCCTGTGGAAGGCTGACCCACCCTCTGGAGAGGTGAGACCCAGCTGTTCACAGCACCCCGAAGGTGGCCTTCGCAGTATGTGGGGTCACACAGGTCCTGCAAAGCTTGGCAGGCTCTAGAGGAAGCCAAGGAAATTTGCAAGCCAAGGCATCATTCACCCAGGATATGTGAAAGCATTCATTAACTTGGAGTTGTCGAGGATAAGCGTCATCTGAGGAAGCTACCCGGTGAAGCTTCTCAAAAATAATATTCCACAATGAGAGATTAGAGACATTTATAGCTAAATGGATGCATATTGAGGCCATACTCTTAAGTGAAATAAATAGGACACACACGTGTAAATACTGGTGTGAGAAACAAAGTGTAAATAAGGATTAAAATGATTAAAATGAATAATTGATAATGTGAAATAGGAAGAAAAGGTCCAAAGTGGTAGGGGCAGTGGGAGGGGTAGGGGAAAGGAAAGAAAGGAAAGGAAAAATTATGAGAAAAGGAAAAAATGGAAACAAATTCTTTGTAAATAGGGAAGGGTGGAGGGGGTGAAGGAAGGACAGGGAATGGGGAAAAAATAAGAACCAAGATACATCATGTACAGGTACAAGCACCCAATGATAAAAGTATTGTATACCTAAAATGTACCAATAAAAGAATTTAAGCAAAATAATATTCCAAGGCGGTGTCTTCAGGTGACGAGCACCTGTACGCTATACCACTAGGGAAGGGCGTAGGTCTGGCTTCTTACTTAACAGTTCTTGGTTCATATTCCCAGAAGCTTGGAGCAGCAGGTGGGTTCTCAAATAATTTGAGAAGTCACTAAAAAAAATAATGTCAATATTCCCAACCCGATTCTAAGTTTTAGATCTCAGTCTCGAAGTTGCCTGCCCCACTCCAACCAAATTTAACAGCAGTACGTATTGATATTTCTTGTGGGCCAGCACTAAGGAGATGAATGGTAACGATAGCAACTATTTATGTGGTATTTATTAT